ACACGGTAAAATCCTGTCTCTATTAAAAATACAAAAATTGGGCTGGGCGCAGTGACTCATGCCTGTAATCCCAGCACTTTGGGAGGTCAAGGCAGGCAGATCACCCAAGGTCGGGAGTTCAAGAGCAGCCTGACCAACACAGATAAACCCTGTCTCTGAAAAAAAAGTAATAAAATAAATAAATAAAATAAAAAATACAAAAATTAGCTGGGCGTGGTGGCGTATACCTGTAATCCCACCTACTCAGGAGGCTAAGGCAGGAAAATTGCTTGAACATGGGAGGCAGAGGCTGCAGTGAGCCGAGATCACACCACTGCACTCCAGTCTGGGTGACAAAGTAAGACACTGTCTCAAAAAAATTTTTTTTAAAAATGAAAACAGTAGACACTGGTTCCAACTCTTGGCCTCAAATGATCCTCCCAGTTTCCCAAAGTGTTGGGATTACAGGGTGTGAGGCACTGACCTGATTTTTCTAATAGAAAGATATTTCTGAGACAAACAGTACTATAATAAATCATTGCTGTATGAATTCAATATTGGTCTTCCCAAATAATGCTTCATTCTTTCTTGTTTTATAGTATCACCGATAATACTTCCTTTAATGTTTTATTTACTTTCCTTTTTCTTTCTAGACCTGTTGGAACATGCCTCACAGGTCACTAACACAAATCTTAGTATTTCCAGGTTACACCTGGCTCCCTGGAATTGAAGTTAATAGAAAAAAAAGAATATATCAATCTGATTTCCCCCAACCTCCAAAACAATCATATTCACAATTTTGTCTCAACATGCATCTGTTTTTACTGCAATTGTGTGTCTTGGATGACTACATTTGTCTGTCTTGTTTCTATCCAACTTTAAGGGTCTCAAGGGATTTCCTGATATTCAAAAAGCATTTATTGAGAAGGGGGCAGGAAAACAATATGGTAAAAGAATCACATGAAGACAGCCAGATCTGGGTTTGAATCCTGGTTCTCCTTCTTCTTCTTGTATCATCTAAGCCTCAAGATGTCCCCTCATCTGTGAAATAAGAACCTCAAAGGACCAATATAAAGATCAGTTAAAATAATGCATGTAAAGTGCTTAACTGAGAGCTGAGAGCTTGTCTTTTCAGCAACCTCTCAAAGAACATTAGCAACCAGTCCACGTGTATACACAGAGCTTCCAAATAGCTTTGTATAGTCTCCCTCTTAAATGCAAACAGACAACCAAAGATAATCTGAGGAAAGCTTCTAATATGAAAGACAAGAGGCTAAAAAAGAGAAAAAGGAAATTGAAGGAAACCGAGACAATATCACCAGTATGCTCAGGTGATAGGCTGGGTGTGATGGCTCACACCTGGAATCTCAGCACTTTGGAAAGCCGAGGAAAGAGGATTTCTTCAGCCCAGGAGCTTAAGACCAGCATGGGCAATGTAGTAAGACTCCTGTCTTTGCAAAAAAATTAAAAAATTAGCCTGGCATGGTGGCATATGCCTGTAGTCCTAACTACCTGGAAGGCTGAGGTGGGAAAATTGCCTGAACCCAAAAGGTTGGTTGAGGTTGCAGTGAGCTGATATCATGCCACTGCACTCCAGATTGGGACAGAGTAAGACCCTGTCTCAAAAGAGAGAAAAGAAAAAAGGTACTGCACTCATGAAAAATACCAAAGGAATATTTAATAAATAAGAAGCATTCTGGAAATTACATCATCATTTTTCATTAGATAACTTAAAAATACAGAGTTGGAAAATAAATTTGAGGAAAGCTTCCAGAACTAGAATAAAATAACAATGATTTTAAAAGAAATACAAGAAATGCAGATTAATCCAGAAGGTTTAATATCTAACTAATCCCAGTATAATAGTGAAAAAGGTCCCAAGATGTCACTTATGCCAGAGGCCTAGAGCAGGGGTCCCTATCACGAACTAGGTACCTGTGGCCTGTTAGGAATCAGCCTGCACAGCAGGAAGTGAGCAGGGGGAGGATGAGCATTACTGCCCGAGCTCCACCTCCTACAGTGTTAAGATTCTCATAGGAGCGTGAACCCTATCATGAACTACTTATGCAAGGGATCTAGGTTGCATGCTCCTTATGAGACTCTAATGCCTGAAGATATGAGGGAGAACAGTTTCATCCTAAAATGATTCATTCCTCCACCCCTCCACCCCAACTCATGCAACCCTAGTCGGTGGAAAAATGGTCTTCCATGAAACCAGTCTCTGGTGCCAAAAAGGTTGAGGACTGCTGGCCTAGAGAGAAACCATTCCAATGTGGAGCAGGACACGTGTGTGCTGGATCCAGGGGAGGAAAGGAACTGATGAATTACCAATGTGTTTAACTCTTTGAGTGGGATTTTTGAGAGCTAAGAGAAAAGTTTAATATATAATAATGATGATACATACATTGTCAGGGAATGAGGGAAGGTGTGGGGAGGACCAAACAAAATCAGTAATTACTAATTAAAGAAAACATTTTTTAAAAGGAAATGTGATGATAACACTATAGGGTTCAGCTGTTAGCATTGTTTTACTAAGTCATGACAATGAATTCTGATCTAACTGTGATAGAGCTGACTGGGAAACGGAAGGATGGAAGGATGGGGAAAGAGAAGATAAGTGTGCTTCAGAGGACATGGTAAAACAGTTAAATCCTCACCTACCACATCAATAAGCTAGTAGATAGGGTCTGTAATCAAAAAGATCAAAGAACAGTTGAAAGAATGTTACTGAACAATAAAATACCACTTTGTACTCACTAGGAAGACTATATAAAAAGACAGACAAAAGCTAGGTACAGTGGTTCACGCCTGTAATCCCATCAACTTGGAAGGTGGAGGTGGGAGGATCACTTGAGGCCAGGAGTTCAAGACCAGCCTGGGCAATACAGCGAAACCCAGTTGCTAAATAAAATAAAATTAGCTGGAGATGATGGCGTGGGCCTTTGTTCCAGCTACTATGGATGCTGAGGCAGGAAGATTATTTGAGCCTAGGAGTTCAGGTTTACAGTGAGCTATGACTGCACCACTGCACTGACCTGGGCAACAGAGTGAGACCCTGTCTCCAAAAATAATTAAAAAAAAAAATCCAGACAGACAGTAACAAGTGCTGGTGCTATTCACAACAACAAAGACATGGTATCAACCCAGTCCATCAACAGTGGATTGGATACAGAAAATACATTACACATACACCATGAAACACTACACAGCCATAAAAAAGAATAAAATCATGTCCTTTGCAACAACATGGATACAGCTGGAAGACATTATCCACAGTGAATTAAAGCAGAAACAAAAAAACAAACACCACATGTTCTCACTTACAAGTGGGACCTAACATTGGGTACACATGGAAACAGAGATGGGAACAACAAACACTGGAGATAGAAGAGGGACAAGGGAGAGGAGGACAAGGGTTGAAAAACTACCTATTGGGTACTATGTTCTCTACCTGGGTGATGAGTTCAATCATACCACAAACCCCAGCTCACACAATATATCCTTTTTTTCTTTGAGACAGAATTTCACTCTTGTTGCTCAGGCTGGAGTGCAATGAATCTCAGCTCACTGCAACCTCCGCCTCCCAGGTTCAAGCAGGTCTCCTGCCTCAGCCTCCCGAGTAGCTGGGATTACAGGTACACACCACGACACCCGGCTAATTTTTGTATTTTTAGTAGAGATGACGTTTCACCATGTTGGCCAGGCTGGTCTTGAACCCCTTACCTCAGGTCATCCACCCACCTCAGCCTCCCAGTGTTGGCTGGGATTACAGGCATGAGCTACCATGCCCGGCATACCCTTGTAACAAAACTGCACATGTACCCCTTGAATTTAAAATAAAAATTGAAAGAGGAAAAAAAATAAGAAAAACCCAGAAGCAGTGTAAAAAGCAAAAACAAAAACCTTGCAGTTCAGAACTGGAGATAATGTCTTTGGGCCAAAAGCCGATCACTTTATGCTTATAATGTAGAACAGCTTAAAATGGCTTTTCCCCCTAAAGCTGAAATGAAGATGTTAAAAAAATCCATCCCTTAAAATGAAAGGCATCATATAAAATTATATCTAAATCAGTGAGCAAAAAGATTACATAACTTTGAGAGACTGTAATGTGCAGATTCACCCACAATACATGTCCACTCTCCTCAATGAGTCACTGACAAGTACAGTTCTGTAACTATGCTCATCTGTTACTCGTAAATTCTCCAAGTATCTACTGTCCAATTACAACAGCTTCAAATTCACAACATAGCACCTGTAACCTCCAGTGATTCTGTCAATTGCTAAGCTATGTCACCTATTCAGATGCCTCCTCTATGGGATAAAGGATAAGATGCCCTAAAATTGACAAATCTCCCTTAAGGGAAAGATTGTAAAACTGGGCATAAACTTAGTAAAATGAGGGTCCACTGTCAGTAAGACTAGTTTATCTTCCCTATATAAAGGAAGTTCTTTTAGTAATTGCAGAGAAGATTGAATTATAGACTCACTTAAAAAAAAAAACTGGTAGAAATAACTCTGATTCAATTTGCCATTTGTTTCATTTTTTTAATGCTTCAAAGACCTCCAAGTGATATAATGAAGCCTCATCTTAATATCTGACCAAGTTTGTATGAAAAAAGACCAGCCATTAAAAAACAGCTTGCAAAATTATTTTACAAACTAAATGGCATGTTATTTATAAAGCTGATTCAACAAAAGATTCAATGTTCAGATTATTTTTTTGAGATGGGGTCTTGCTACATGGCCCAGGTTGGACTAAAACTCTTAGGCACAAGCAATCTGCCCACCTCAGCCTCCCAATAGCTGGGACTACAGGTGCACACCACCACACCTGGCTAAATGCTCATATTTAAGCAAAATTACTTACTGGCTGATGTGATGAAGCCAATACAAACAATAATAATTTATCTCAACAGGTATATAACACAGAAGAAAAATGGACTGTAAATTTAGGAGATAAAGCTGTAAAAAAAAAAAAAAAAAAAAAAAAAAAAAAGCTCTTAAATTCCAATAAACACAACCTGAGCAACTCTTTCAAATAGTAGTGGCCTCTTTTTTAACTTTTCTTCTCTTTCTTCTAGTTCTTGTCGGTATTCTCTCATCCTTTCCTTTTCACTCTTTCTAAAATTAAATAAAAGGAATGGAATTTTAAAAGATCATCTAGAAATAAGAATTTACATACATAACATTTAACATCAACTTGTACAAAGTCAATAAAAAAAAAGAAGTAACATTTAGCTTAGCTGACAAACCAGAAATTATGAGCACAGTTCACAGTTTACTTGATTCCTCTTCTATACTGGTTAATCCTCGTGGTATGCAGAATAAAATCCTAGGTTCTGAGATCACACATATTGTGCTCTAGACATAGTCTGGATACTTTGATTTCTAAAATCCTCAAGGCATAAATATATTAAAGGGCTTCAAACTGACCTGAAGAGATGAATGAAAGCCCTCTTGCCTCATTTATAAGCATATAAAAACAAGAAAATTTTGGAACAAATTAGCTATCGTCTCTGTAAGGAATTTCTTTTGAAAACAAGACCTTGCTCTTTATTATTATTATTTTGTTGTTATTTTTGTTTGTTTGTTTTGAGATGGAGTCTCGTTCTGTTTCTCAGACTGGCACAGTGGCTCGATCTCAGCTCACTACAACCTCCACTTCCTGGGTTCAAGCAATGATCATGCCTCGGCCTCCCGAGTAGCTGGGATTACAGGCGTGCACCACCACACCTGGCTAATAGTTTGTATTTTTAGTAGAGATGAGGTTTTCACCATGTTGGCCAGGCTGGTCTCAAACTACTGACCTCAGGTGATCTACCTGTCTTGGCCTCTCAAAGTGCTGGGATTATAGGCATGAACCACCACCTCCAGCCTATTATTTCTGAGACAAGTTCTCACTCTGTTGCCCAGGCTGGAGTGCAGTGGCTCAATCATGGTTCACTGCAGCTTTAACTTCCTGGGCTCAAGTGATCCTCCCATCTCAGACTCTCGAGTAGGTGGGACTACAGGCAAATGCCACCAAACCTGGCTAGTTTTTTTTAATTTTTTGTAGAGATGGGGGGTCTCATTGTGTTTACCAGGTTGGTCTCAAACTCCTGGCTTCTAGCAATCTTCTTGCCTTGGACTCCCAAGGTGCTAGGATTACAGATGTGAGCCGTGGCATCCAGCCTTTGCTGTTATTTTTTTCCCCTAAATAAGATCTCCCAAAGGTTAGTGGCAAAATTAATTCAATGGGAGCAAGTCAAGGGATAAATAAAGAGCATAGGAATACAACATAAAGAGAAACAGCAACCAAAATACATAAATTTACCATAAGTTTTCTCACTGTTTGGGCAAGATCCTATAATAAATTAAACTATAGTATTTTCTTTATGTAAGATGTAATTGCTATCAAAAGAGTAACATTTAATGGATTGGGGAAAATAATTATATTTTTAAATGACAATTAGACTTAATTATACACAAGTTAGTGTTATGAAAAAGCTATTGGCCGGGCCTGGTGGCTCATGCTTGTAATTCCAGCACTTTGGGAGGCCGAGGCAGGTCTATCACCTGAGGTCAGGTGTTCAAGACCAGACTAGACAACATGGTGAAACCCCATCTCTACTAAAAATACAAAAATTAGCTGGATGTAGTGGCGAGCGCCTATAATCCCAGCTACTCCAGAGGCTGAGGCAGGAAAATCACTTGTATTAAAGAGGCAGAGGTTGCAGTGAGCAGAGATCAGCCACACACTCCAGCCTGGGTGATAGAGCAAGACTCTGTCTCAAAAAAAAAAAAAAGGAAAAAAAAAAGAAAGCTACTAATAGTTTACTTCCTAAGGGTAAGTTATCTATTTCTAAGAAACGTTATGCTCAAGTTCTTCAAATTAAGCTCCCTTTATCGATAGATTAATGCTAAATTATAAAAGAATACTCACTGTAATTAAAAGCACGTATGTATATTTAGAAATCAGACTAAAAAGTAATAAATTATATTACTTACCTGGCTTTGGGGGAGATATTTTCCTAAACATCAACATTTTTATGTGCAACATCTGGAACACTGGTTTTCAAACTTTGTACTGCATAATTCTAGTAAAGGGGTTCTAGGGATTCTGTGAATACCTTTATTTATTTATTTATTTTTATTACCAGTAATGGCTATAAGCAAGAATACCTTTATTTATTATTTATTTTTTTTTTAGGGAGGGAAGGAGGAAGGGAGGAAGGCAGGAAGGGAAGGAAGGAGGAAGAGAGGGAGGAAGGAAGGGATAAAGGAAGGAAGGGAGGAAGGGGGGGAGGGAGGGAGGGAAGGGAAGGAAGGAATTCAAGCAATGAGAGAGACATTGCCGACCTGGATCTAGAGGTTTACAAGTTGATTTCTTTTTTTGAGAGAAGGAAAGAAAAAAAAAAATGAGTAAAGGAGAGAAAGAAAGAGGAAGAGAGAGGGGGAGGGTGAACGGAAATATTGCTTTATTCTGAAAAAATAAATGGGTATTAATAATGGACAATCAATGTTTCATTTAAACCTATGAGTAGGTGTGATGTGGTATTGACAAGAATGTATATTTTATTTGAAATGGAGCGCTCTATAAATATTTATTAAGTTTACTTGTTCCGGCTCTGAGTTTGAGTCCTTGATATCCTTATTAATTTTCTGTCTCACTGAATCTAAGTCTCTATGTATCTGGGTGTTAGGATCCTTAGCTCTTGCTGTTGCATTGATCCTTTTACCACTATATCTTTGTTGCTTTAAAATCTATTTTATCCACTACGAGAATTGCAACTCCTGCTTTTTATTTATTTATTTATTTTTGCTCTCCATTTGGTTGGTAAATCTTTCTCCATTCCTTTGTTTTGAGTCTTTGTGTATCCTTGCATGTGAAACGGGTCTGGATGTAACATGCCGTTGGGTTTTGGCTGTGTCTTTTGATTGGGGGATTTAGTCGATTTATGTAGGGAGCAGTGGCCATCTTGAGCGTCATGATAGCAGTCTTGTGATCTTGTTGCTCAAGCTTCTGCTTCTCTTATCTATGTTTCACATTCTTCTTAGTCACGAGGCCAGCCTGCAGTCTTGTCTCCATGATTACTTTCTGACGTCAGAACTCAGAGCTTCCCGCCTTTGCTTGCTTATAAGCAGCTGCTTTGTACCTAATAAACTAGACTTGATCAGATCTTTGACTTGTCTCCATTCTTCGCGTCTCCTGTCTCTCTCTCAATCCCTACTCCCTCCCTAGGGTCTCCGTTGCTCGTCCCGCGGGTCGGGACAGATTTAAATTTAGGGTTACTGCCATTTGATGTTAACTGGCTGTTTTATCCATTCATTGATGAAAATTCTTCTTTATGTTGGTGCTCTTTACTTTTTGGTATATTTTAGTAAGGCTAATACTGGTTGTTTCTTTCTGTGTGTAATGCCTCTTTCAGAAGCTTTTGTAAAACAGGCCTGGTGGTAATAAAATCTCTGAGTACTTGCTTGTTCATAAAAGATTTGATTTTTCCTTCAGTTGTGAAGCTTAGTTTGGCTGGATATGAAATTCTGGGCTGAAGGTTCTGTTCTTTGAGGATGTTGAATATTGGCCCCTACTCTCTTCTGGCTTGTAGAGTTTCTGCTGAGAGATCTGCTGTAAGTCTGATAGGCTTGCCTTTGTGGGTAACCTGACCTTTCTCTCTGGCTGCCCTTAGTATTTTCTCCTTCGTTTCAACCCTGGTGAATCTAACGATTATGTGCCTTGGGGTTGCTCTTCTTGAGGAATATCTTTGTGGTGTTCTCTGTATTACCTGGGGTTGAATATTGACCTGCTTTGCTAGTTCAGGAAAATTTTCCTGAATAATCTCCTGAAGGGTATTTTCCAGCTTGGATTCATTCTCTCTGTCGCATTCAGGTACACCTATCAAACGTAAATTTGGTCTTTTCACATAGTCCCACATTTCTTGGAGACTTTGCTCATTCCTTTTTATCCTTTTATCTCTAATCTTGTCTTCTTGTTTTCTTTCATTAAGTTGGACTTTGACCTCTGTTATCCGTTCTTCTGCTTGAACAATTCGAGTGTTTAAACCTGTGCATACTTCTCGGAGTTCCTGTATTGTATTCTTCAGTTCCATTAATTCACTTATATTCCTCTCTAAGTTGTCTATTCGCAATAGGATTTCATCAAACCTTTTTTCAAAGTTCCTAGTTTCTTTACGTTGGGCTACAACATGTTCTTTTAACTCACAGAAGTTTCTTATTATCCATTCCTTGAAGAGTGATTCTGTCATTGGGATGCGCTCGTTCTCCATCAAGCCTTGTTCCATTGTTGATGTGGAACTGTGATCATCTTTAGAGGGAGAGGCGTTCTGATTTTGAGTAGTCTCAGCCTTTTTACGCTGGTTTCTTCCCATCATTGTAAATTTATCCTCCTGTCGTCTTTGAAATTACCAACTTTCAGATTAGGTCTCTTGATTGGACGTCCAAGTTGTTAGTTCCCAGGGCCAGAACAGCAGCGTTAAGACTGATGGTGCTTTTCTGCCCAGGATTCTCTTGTCTGGCTTCCTTCTTGTGTCCGTAATGGGTGACTCTGCCTTCCCAGGGCTCCAAACCTTGGTCAGAAGGGGAACCAGTCTCGTTTACTCTGCGCCGAGAGCTGCCACACTGAGGTGCCGTCACAGCCGCTGCACCGGTCTCAGGAGTCGTGCTGGGGACCCATGTGGGTCCTCCAAACCTCGGTCAGAAGGGGAGCTGGCCCTGTTTACACTGCTCCGAGAGCTGCCGCGCCAAGGTGCTGGCGAAGCCGCTGCGCCGGCCACAAGAGTCGCGCTGGCGGCTCGTGTGGGTCCTTCAAGCCTCGGTCAGAAGGGGAGCCAGCCCTGTTTACTCTGCTCCGAGAGCTGCCGCGCCGAGGTGCCGGCAAAACCGCTGCGCTGGCCACAAGAGTCGCACTGGCAACCCGTGTGGTTCCTCCACTGGGGATCTTCTGCTCTGTGAGCGACCAGAATTTGTCTGAAAGGGTGGCGTCCTCTAGTTCTCTGCTCTTTGACTGAGAGCTGCAATCCCGAGCTGTTATCGATCGGCCATCTTGGATCATTCCTCAAATACCTTTATTTTTATATTGAAACTAACAAAATGCTACTAAACATTAACATATGTGCTGATGAACACATCACATAATAGATTTTAACATCAATGTGTTAATTTGTGCTATCAAGACTTCATGCAAACCTTAGAACAAAGCTCTTTGATATATCTGTTTACTGCAATCAAAAATAATCAAAAATAATATAAAGAACAAGATCAGATGCTGGTATAAAATTATAGCTATTAACCAAGGCCACAATAGATGATGTTTTTATTCATCAACATAGCTTCACGGTTCTCACCATGAAGCTGAGTATATATGTTGGTTCTCACCACAAAGTGAGTGTGTGTGTGCTAAACGTAAGTAACTGATGACAATTTAAATCCATAAACTGAAACACAAATGCCATTTTCAATCTGCTCATATTTTGCTATCTACTGATTAAAAAAAAAAAAAGAAAGTAAGTTTGAAAACCAGTGGTCTGGAGGTTCAAGATTTTTTCATGATACCTGAGATATTTTACTTTGCATTTAGATATCTGAGCTAAACTTTGATGTGAGTCATAAGCCTTAGCCCGGGTTGTCAGGAGTTTCTGCAATTCTTTCATTCTTTGCTTCTGTTTAGTTAGGATCCGATTTCTCTCTTCTTCCAATATTTTCTTTTCCTCAAGTGATCTCCTGAGGGTAACAAACTAAGGCTTAATCCACTTGAAGCCAATCAGAATGTTGTTTAGCAAAGATTTAACATGGGATAATTCAAAATTGGAAAAAAGGCAACCTTTTGAAAAGGATCTGATTTGTAAAACTAGAAATCTTAAGATTAATATTTTCTAAGCCCCCAAAATTTATAAAATGAAAAATACATTCAATTCTTAGAATACCCTCTGATTATATATCCTATATTATATAATAAAATATATTATAGATACAATAATAATTTTTATGTATTTTCAAATTCACAAACATAAATTCCATAGAGCTGCATACACTCATCTGGCAACATGAGTCATTCAGTACTGTGTCTTAGTTACTTACCTTATGGCTTGTTCTCGTTTTCTGGAAGATACCGTGGGCACTGGAGGGTTGCAGGTATAAGGCACAGGCTTTACACCTGTACATCTTACTGGTGACTTATGCCTTGGAGACAAATAAGGCCAACGTGTTTCTTTTAAATTTTCTTCATCTGCTTTGATGTCTGCCAAAATTTTTTCTCTTTTAGTAGATGCATGTGGAGATGCATGAAGATCAAATGGTTTACACACGGTTAAGAGTTTTGGAGACTCATGTTCTGAGAGGTGTTTCTGGTATCTCTCAGGAAGGGCCTCAAAATCAGGAGTCCGGCACCTAGCCTTGTGTTTACATTTCAACTTTACAGCCTGTTCAGGACACCTGGGATTCCTGCATCCGCAAGCTGACCTAGAAGGCAGAGAAGATGAGTTCTGTAAATGCTCCTGGGCTCTCAGCTGCGTCCTAAGGTTTCGATAGAGCTCTTCTTCTTTTAACTTGCCCTTGGTAGCTGAACCATAAGTAGATTGAGGAATGGGTCTGGCTTTAAATCGATTTGTTTTCTTTTTAGACTTAAAAAAGTCTCTCAGCTGCTTTTCCTGGGCTGCTCGCTTCTGTTCCTCCCTTGCTATAAATTTAAATGGCTTTTGTGAGGCCAAAAGAGCTTCTTTGTTTTTCTCCTTCAGAGACCTTCTCCGTTCTTCTTTTTGCTTGATTAAATCATGGTAAAGGGGGAAAAAGACAAATGCAGGAACTGGATTGGCTCGGAATTTCTTCTTACACTCTAGATCCTCTTCTTGCTTTTTGAGCAGTTTATGGGCCATTTCGATATCTGATTTAGATTTCATGGACTCTTCTTTTTTCTTCTGTTCTCTTATCATCATTTGAAAAGGCTCCGGTACTGTAATCGTAGGCACCCATTCTTTTCGTTTCTTCCTTTTTTCAGCTGCTTGGAAGCCAGTATCTTTAGAGCGAATATAATCTTCAACACAAAAATCTGTCCACATGTTGTTGATGAGCTCCTTAGCATAGGTCATCATTCTGTCTTTGTTAGGATACTTTTTTTCTAGGTTGGACAACTCCTCTTCAGAGGAGGACACATACAAGGAGGAAGACTGGCCAAAATCAGGCTCTGAAAATGATGTCATTAATGAGACAGGGTGATAGGAGTTCTTTTCTGATACAGATCTAAATGAGAAGAATAACTAGGTTATACTTTCAGTTGTATGTGACCAAATATAAAAATTAAGAGTGACATAATTTCTCTTTTTCCCCCCTGAGATGGAGTCTGGCTCTGCCATCCAGGCTGGAGTGCAGTGGTGTGGTCTCAGCTCACTGCAACCACCGCCTCCCAGATTCAAGCGATTCTCTTGCCTCACCTCCTGAGTAGTCAGAACAACAGTTGTGCCCAAAATGCCCAGCTAATTTTTTGTATTTTTAGTAGAGACAGGGTTTCACCATGCTAGCCAGGATGGTCTCAATCTCATCTCATGATCCACCTATCTTGGCCTCCCAAAGTGCTGGAATTACAGGTGTGATCCACTGCACTTGGCCAAGAATTACACATTTTCTAAGATCAAGGTATAATCAGAAGAGAGAAGCTGGACAGGGCTTTTAAAAATCATCACTTTTATTTGGAATAGAGCCGGGAGATACCCATAAATTAACTAGTTTGACTCCTTCATCTTACAGAAAAGGAACCTGAGATAGCAGAGGCTCCTTGTGTCTGACCCTCTATTAAATTCTCCCCAAGCTTTCTGGAGTCACTGTCCTGAAGCATATATCTGATCATGTCACTCCCCTGCTTAAAACTTTTTGATAATTCCTCACTGCTATGAAGCCAAGCCTAGATTACAAGCCCTTCAAGACTGGCTATGCCTATCTTTTCAGTCTTACCCCTCCACTGGCTACCCTAGTCCCCATTCTGCATTTATATGCAGTCCTGTGAAGTTCCTCACATACACTATGATTTCTTATGCCATCTTGCCTGTGCATATATGGTTTCTGCTGCCTAGAAGGCCATTACTTATTCCTCCTCCAAGACTGAACTCAGATGTGACACTTTAGTGAGAAAGTCTGGCCTGCATCCCTCCAAAGGCCTGGCATGATCAACTGCTTCTTCCTCTGTAACACTGTTACCTCATGCTGTAATATAATTTTTGCTTCTCAGCTAGTCTCTAAGCTCCTTGAGGGCATCTTGTTTTTGACTCATTAGTGCCCAGGCATAATCTGGCACACAGAAGGCATGCAAGCATTGCTGACTGACTAGATGTGAAAGTCTCAAAGCAGGTAAGTTCACAGCAGAAATGGGTCTTGAAATTGCAGATTATTTTGAAAACATTAATCCGATTCATGTCTCTTAGTCCAGAACTCTTTGTCCTAAATCATTAATGAGCTCGTGTTAATCCATATATTATAAAGAGCTTTAAAATTAAACTTTTATATTTATCATTTAAAATGGCTCAGATTAAGTTCTGTTTGTTTTGTTTGATTGTTTTTTATCATTTAAAAGGCCCAGACTAAGTATTTTGATATATGCCCTCAGTTCTATAGGTAGGTCAGAGATAAAAGACCAAATGGCCATTAAATGACCCTCAAACCAAAGGGTCACCTAGTAAGTTGATAAGCCATTAAACATTTTGAATAAAATCCTACTTCCATATAGCATTAAGAGTACAAAGGGATACTTAAGAGAAAATATTCTAAAATAACTTTGTTCTGTCCTTTTAAGTATACATTTTACTTTATAGTCCACAAATAACACTGAGTTACAAACTTACCTGGAAGAGTCACTACCGGAGTCTTCCCTGATGACCAATGGCTGAACTTCCTTTAAATTTAATTTATCCTGGTACATTTTCTCTAATTTTGCCATAGTTTCTATGTGGGCAGCCTTCAACTCTTCTAATTTCTTGAAATATTCCTCATTAGAGTGGTAAATACCAGAAAAGTTCACAAAGTCCTTATAACTTCTTGGTGCATGTTCATCTACCCCAGAAAAGTTGGTGTTAAAATCGGCCTGGTGGGGAGAAAACACCTATTATATGGTAACTGGAACTGAAAGATAAATTAAGCTGACACTGATCCAAAATGCTCCTTCTTAAAGAGACCACCTAGTTAGGTTATATGTTACTTATGAGCTATACACATAGAATGAATTACGGGTTACCTGTGGACTATGTACATTTTCCTCAATGATATTTTAAGAAAAGAGAGAGAGAGACCAAACTGTCAGAAAATAAATGTTATTTAATCCATTTGAAAAAGGATGATTAGATTCCCAGATCAACCAACAAAAAGTATAACAGGATAGAAACTAACCACCCTTTACAAAGTTCCTCTAAGGAGTCTCCTGAGTTGTGAGTTTTAACTAAGATGAAGAGGAACACAGTTCTTCCTGCTGCAAACCAGGCAAACACAGCCCAATGCCCTCCTTCCAGCTGCGCTCCTGCAGTGTGGCCCCAAGGACTGCCAGTGGAGAGAAGGCAGGGAAATAGAAGGAATGGGGGCAGGGACAAAGTTCTTAGTGGCTTATCAAGGAGGCAGGAGGAAGCCCTCCTCACAGTGGGGCAAGACCTTCAGAGGGAGTAAGAGGACATGGGAGGGGATAGGAAGGACTTTCAGGATAGCTGCTCCTGTGGGCACAAAGGCAGTAGCTCCCATGGGTGACAGGGACTTTGGAATGACAACAGAGCAAAGAAGAAAAAATGGTGTAATTATTCAACACACAGATCATGTCTACAAGGGTCTCACTGGCTTTTTTCCCTCACTGCCTTCACATACCTTCCAGTCTTTTTATTTTTGACAGCATCTCACTCTGTAACCTGGACTGGAGTGCAGTGGTGTGATCTTGGCTCACTGCAACCTCCGCGTTCTCCTGCCTCAGCCTCCCAAGTAGCTGGGATTACAGCCACCCACCACCACACCCAGCTAATTTTTGTATTTTTAGTAGAGATGGGGTTTTACCATGATGGCCAGGCTAGTCTCAAACTCCTGACCTCAGGTGATCCACTCAACTCAGCCTCTCAAAGTGCTGGGATTACAGGTGTGAGCCACCATACCCCGCCCTTTCAGTTCTTTTTATCAAAGCAACTAAAGAAATAAAACCTCATTGTCTCTATAAATATAAATTTTGAGACGGAGTTTCACTCTTGTTACCCAGCTGGGGTGCAATGGCACGATCTCGGCTCACCGCAACCTCTGCCTCCTGGGTTCAGGCAATTCTCCTGCTTCAGCCTCCTGAATAGCTGGGATTACAGGCACATGCTACCATGCCCAGCTAACTTATTGTATTTTTAGTAGAGATGGGGTATCACCATGTTGACCAGGATGGTCTCAATCTCTTGACCTCATGATCCACCTGCCTCGGCCTCCCAAAGTGCTGGGATTACAGGCGTGAGCCACCACACCCGGCCCTTAGTATAAAATTTTTAATATGTTCTCAGTTGAGAAACAATTGAAATTATTTATGATACTATGCATAAAAGGCTGCCAACCACGGTTTTAAATTTAATCTACTGTCTGGAACAGACTCAAAATGAAAAAATTTGCTATAGAAAATTATAGATCCAATCTGATAAGACTCTAGAAATAAATCTGTTTTGCTTCTTTCAAAAGGAAATTCAGAAGAGTCAATTATAAATAGTAGTCATAGATATGGTGTTTTTGTTTCCTACTGGAGGCTTCTAAGAAGATATGGTATTTTTTTAAATGGGCTAAAATCAGTGTACAAGAGGACAACGTTGTATTACTTGAGGTAACTTAGAGAAAACAAATTTTAAAAAATCAGTCTTCAATTAGAAATGATACGCAGAAATTTGCTACCAACAACTCTATAAATCAGAGAACTGCTTTACGTATGTCAAATAATTCAATTAAGATAATTCTCTGGCATCTTCTGCTGTTTCTGTATGTGCTTCTTACCAAAAACTTCTTATCTATGGGATGACAACTTTGTGAATTTCCTCAGTCATTAAATATTTGGGGGCCATCCTGCAATCACTAGCTGCTAAAAGGTACATCATACTTTTTTTAACTCTACTTTTGAGGCCAGGCATGGTGGTTCACACCTATAATCTCAGCACTTTGGGAGGCCGAGGTGGGTGGATCACTTGAGGTCAGGAGTTCAAGACCAGCCTGGCCAACATGGTGAAACCCTAGTCTCTACTAAAAATACAAAAAATTAGCCGGGTGTGGTGGCGCGTGCCTGTAGCCTCAGCTACTCAGGAGGCTGAGGCAGGCAGGTCACTTGAACCCAGGAGGTGGAGGGTGCAAGTGAGCCAAGATCATACCACAGCACTCCAGCTCGGGTGACAGAGAAAGACTCTGTCTCACTAAAAAAAGGAAACACAAACTCTACCTTTAAGAAGTTTCCAGTTAGCTTAGGAAAGGACATGTACATAAATAATTGACAGCTGACTTAGAATGAAACAGAACTTCTGATTCCTGCCCACAAGCTACTTCCAGCTAAGCAAGGAGACAGATGTATGTCACAATGTCAGACACTATGAGACGAAGGCACAATTCACAGAGGTGAGACAGACTGGAGACCTATGGTTGGATGAGGACAAAGTTTGTCAGATCAGGGAGGCAGTGAAAAATAAATAAATCCAAGGTATAGTGCTAGAACATCTAACACCAGTAAATAGGTGGATAAATAAACATGTCTGGAGACCTGGTGAGAAGGCTGGGCTGGAGAGCAGATACAGGAGCCACCAATTCACATAGTGCAGGTGCAGGTGCAGCCTTGGATATGGAGGAGGCTGCCTGGAGAAAGTGTGGGCAATGAGATGAGGGACCTGAGAATGGAGATGTTGGAGAACACCAACATTTAAATAAGCAGTGGGAGGAGGACTAATAAGGTCGAAAGTGATATAAGAGAGACAAAGACCAACTGATGAGGGTCTTTGGAGCTTCTGATTGAGTATTCTGACACCACATCTGTAATTTTTCTCCTAAGCCATGAGAACATTCCAAACTAAAAGTTATTTAACTCTCACCCAACTCTTTCATCTTTAAGGGTTATAAAGGGGGCTGAAACCAGGTGACCAGTGACCAGGAGCCAGTGGTAGACAGGAAATGGAGGAAGCTTTTATTTGGCTTGAGTTTGGAAGATAGGGGAAGACTTCCTGGAGGAGCTGATATTTGAGATGAGTCATAAAGAATGGAGGCCAAGTGTGGTAGCTTGTATCTGTAATCCCAGCATTTTGGGAGGCTGCAGTGTAAGGACTTCTTAAGGCCAGGAGTTCCATACCAGCCTAGGAAACACGGTGAGACATCATCTCTACAAAATGTTTTTTAAAAATTAGCTGGATGTGGTGACTGAGGTGGAAGGATCACTTGAGCCAGGAGGTTGAGGCTGCAGTGAGCCACAAGTGCACCACTGCACTCCAACCTGGGCAACAGAGTGTGAGAACTTGTCTCAAAAAAAAAAAAAGGCCAGGCACGGTGGCTCATACCAGTAATCCCAGCACTTTGGGAGGCCGAGGTGGGTGGATTACTTGAGCTCAGGAGTTCAAGACCAGCCTGGGCAACATGGTGAAACCCCATCTCTACTAAAAATACAAAAATTAGCCAGTTGTGGTGGCATGTGCCTGTAGCTCCAGCAACTCAGGAGGCAGAGGCAGGAGAATTGCTTGAACCTGGAGGACGGAGATTACAGTCAGCTGAGATTGACCACTGCACTCCAACAAGCTGGGCAACCAAGTGAAATTCTGTCTAAAAAAAAAAAAAAGGAAAAAAGGAGAAATCTATAGGATCACAGAGTATTTACGGGAAAGAGAGGGAAAAGTACCAGAGACAAAGGAAACAGCATTAGCAAATGTGCAGGCTGGGGTTGGGAAGGCTGTGCATAGCAGAGAGCAAGGTGCACATGGCTGCCGGATAAAAGGAGAGGAAAACGCATAAAGCAATCTTGAGAAACAAACCTAGAAAGGGAGGTTAGGGCAAGCAAGAAGGGTTTCCATCTCCTGTCTACCACTGGCTCCTGATTACTGGTCACCTGGTTGCAGCCCCCTTATGACCCTTCAAAGATGAAAGGGTTGGTTGGAAGTTAAATAACTTTTAGTTTGGAGTGTTTTCATGGCTTAGGAGAAAGATTTCCAACGTGGTGTCAGCATACTCATTCAAGCCTGGGCTCTGCAGTTAGCAATGTGTTGTGGGCATGAACTTCTTGAATATCAGCTTTAAGATACATAAAGTAGGTATGCCAGTTGTTAAACTAGTGTCTTTCAGCTCCAATGCCACCCTTCTCGACTCTGCTTCTCTGCAAACCACACTTCCACTTTGCTAGTGCTCCTCATCAGACTCTGCCAAAAGTAAAGTTAGAGGGAGACAAAAGACTAGAGGAGAAAGATGGAACTTACTCCTTCCTGTTAGCCCCTCTGTCTGTTTCCTGTCCGCTTGTGTCAGCCCAGCAACAGTTCTTCATTTGGGCAGCTGCAGTTCATTTTAGTAGCAGTGTCTGAAACCAGTTTGTAGTTTGCACTCGAAAAATCAACAGAATTGGCCAGGTGTGGTGGTTCACACCCGTAATCTCAGCACTTTGGAGGTGGATTCCTTGAGGTCTGGAGTTTGAGACCAATCTGGCCAACATGGTGAAACCCTGTCTCTACTAAAAACACAAAACTTAGCTGAGCATGGTGGCATGTGCCTGTGATCCCAGCTCCTCAGGAAGCTGAGGCAGGAGAATCACTTGAACCCAGGAGGCAGAGGTTGCAGTGAGCCGAGATTGCACCACTGCACTCCAGCCTGGGTGACGGCGTGAGACTCCATCTCAAAAAAAAAAAAAAAAAAAGAGGCCGGGCGCAGTGGCTCAAGCCTGTAATCCCAGCACTTTGGGAGGCCGAGGCGGGTGGATCACGAGGTCGAGAGAACGAGACCATCCTGGTCAACATGGTGAAACCCCTTCTCTAGTAAAAATACAAAAAATTAGCTGGGCATGGTGGCGCATGCCTGTAATCCCAGCTACTCAGGAGGCTGAGGCAGGAGAATTGCCTGAACCCAGAAGGCAGAGGTTGC